TGAAATTTGTAACCCAAACTATACTGCTGCAATTCAAGGAAATTCTAAGTCACTGAAATCTGTAGCCTATATTTTTTTTTATCATACTGCTGAACTGAGTTGATATTGATTTTGAAGCCACAGCCCTCTTGTGGAATGTTAAACTATATTTTTTTAGTTTGCTGTTTCAATTTCTGTTTTTATTGTTCAGAATAAATACAAGCACTTGCACAAAATATTGGACTTCAGCCTTCCTCATTTCACATAGATGGGAAAGTTTTAAAATATAAAATATAAAATATAAAATGCACTCCCCGCCAATTTTTTCAGCATCTAGGGATGAAAAACTAAAGATTAATTTTAAATGGCCTTACTAGCAACCCATTTCTTGTTTACTGTGTTTATTATTATTATTATTATTTACCTGAAAAGCCTGGCCATGCTTTATTTGAAGGATCATTTGTTGCCTATCAAAATGTATACAAATTCGAATGTATTGATCTGGCTGTGACTCTGCACTTCGATAGTGTACATTCTTCTATCTGTCTTTTGATAAATCTCAAAACACATGTAGTACATTTATTGTTCATGTAAATTCTTGTTTCTTATTAAAAAAAATATCATAAACAGTCTGTTACGATTTTAATAACAAATATAAGTTACGTAAAGAAATTCAGGTGATTAGTTATCACTCATTTACCAATGATGCCTTTTATTGTCACTTGTATTACATTATATTAACACTTTTGACCCAGTGAGCAACACGAGGGTCGCGCCCAGCTCATGTGCCCAAACTGCAAGCTTCCATGGGGCATATATTAACGCGCCTCAGCCACAGAAGCGGCCGCCTTGAAATTCCCAAAGGCAGGCCTACATTGCCATTTCTTGATATTTCCTTTTTGGTCAAGCCTTTGAAGGGAAACTCATCCTGCGAATCACGACGCAACAATGTCAAGCATTCACCTAGACCCAGAAGATCCTGGAACCTATAAAGAAATTGAAACAAGCACAGAATAAGAGCAAAAGAAGGAAGAATTCTGGATATGAAGAAGACCCACTTTCAAAACAGACGAAATACAAAACATCAGCTGCTGTCTCAAAAATCGAAATGCAAGTATCATTGACAGGAGAATCCTTTCCCTCAAATTTCAGTTATCCCATTAAATCAACAAAAGCAACAATAAATAAATCCGAGTTTCACAAATACATCAAAGAATCACGGACCCTTCTTATCCAATGCAAGGGTCCGTGATGGGTCGGCGGCTGTTCACGGACCGCTGCCAACGCATCACGGACTACTTCACGATTCGTCGGAGACAACATATAACTGCGAACCAGTCCCCATCATCACCTGTCACCTGGATGCCCTCAAGATGACTGCACTCATTCCAAGAGGTCAGTTACTATGTTTTTGCATTCAAATACGGCTGTAATGTGAACAGGATGCCTTACTGGTTGCTCACTGGCATTACGAACACAAGAGACAAAAGTAAACAGAGATGCTAGGTGCGACCATGGTTTGAGAACAAAAAGACGGACTCCGACTTCTAGCACACCAAACGGGGACAGATCACTCTCCGACTGCTGGGGAGGAATCGTGATGCGTTCACAACTGGTCGGGAGTCACGACGGTTCTCCAAGTAGAGGGCACAGATCGGCCGTAAGTTATCGGGAACCAGTCGGATACCCCTAGTGTGACTTGGCTATAGTTAAGTTGATACAAATTTACTTTTGTAAAGGGTGGATAGATATCGAAGTTTCAGCAGGTGATAACAAACTTAAAATCGGCTCGAAACATGAAATGTGTAGGCCTACACACACACTCACACACACACACACACACACACACACACACACACACACACACACACACACACACACACACACACACACACACATGTGCTTATTCCTTCCGGAAGCGTTTCCTGTTGTTCCCGAAGAAAGGTCTTATCTCGGGCGGATTCCACTGTCTAATAGATATCAATTTTTTTCTTAGATAACTTAGACATCGATAAGTTCGATATGTTAATGCACTCTATCTGGTAATTGTGGTGCATTAACATAACCGATTGAAAGGTATGTTATAAATGAAAGTTTAATTTAACAAATAATAAATGCAATTTCATCCATTTGGTCTGTGAATACTTTTGGACACATACACTCAAGTGCAAAATAAATGATCGACATGCAGATACGTTGGACTGAGTCATTATTATAATCATTGCAATTTCTGAAATATGTAATAATACATCTGCAAAAACTGTGGGGGAATCTATCTGGCGGCCCAGACCTAGGGTGCTCCTAGCTGCGCCGCATTTGTTTAAATACTGTGCGTTGACTCCACGAGGCGAGCAACACCCGCAAAACTTTAACAATACGGAAAAGTGCGGGGGACCTGGTTCTGGGGAAAGCCGCCCCTCGGAGACGGTTAATGATACGGCCGTACGACACCCAAGAGGCGTGGATGCATACATTTCACGAGCTTTGTATAAGATACGATGCGCTGTAATGATATTTGTTGCAAGTGGGTGAGACGTCACCACAACGCCCCTTCTCGCAGAACCATCCCAGCCAACTTTCCTACCTCATGTGACCCTTAACCTTGGTGCAATAGGTAGGAGAGGGGGGGGAGGGGGTCATCGTGATATTCTGTTTGAGTGTTCCGAGGTCATATATATAGATTTACATTTAAAGGAGCATTGATAAAATTTTGATAGATATAATGCAAAAACTTGCCATTTATCAGTATACTAACTCTTTGATAAGTAAGGAAGTATAGACCAATAAACAATGGGTACCTTTTTTCACTTTATCATTTTTTCCTGATAAAAAAAAAATGTGGATAATTAGTTTCGTTATTTCGTTTCGAGTTATTTCTTTCACTACGCGAGGTGTTCATTGTTATTACCGATCCTAATAATCTTAGTTATATTATTAACATTCCATTCGTCACAAGATGAACGTTACCATTAATATACATTTCAATAAGCTTTACTGTTTTTTTTGCGTGTGCATACACACGCACGCACGCACACGCACATGCACACGCACACGCACGCGCACACGCACACACAGACACACACACGTATACAGGGATTGTACACTAAAATCGCTTGTGGCAGAACGTTTTTCCTTAAGTTTTCCTTAATGTTACCCTCGTTGCCAGCGCCTTGCTTGCAACCTGCTAGAATGTTTCCGGTTAACCTGTGCGACCCTGCAGTTCGACTTCATTTCTTATTGTGTGTTTTTTTTTTATCTCTGTGTACATGTTACTGTGTTTGTGTTCAGGTAGGAAGTTTGTTCCGCTTGGCGTCAGATGACTAAAAAAATGCTCCCATTCAGGATTATACTTTTCATTGTCAGAGAGGATGATGCAAATTGTCAATAATATATGAATTTTCCTAAGTTCATCTTTTATGCTGGAGAAAAGCCACGATGACCGCTAGGACAATGTTACATGAAACCACAGTAGGTACACCCAAAATGTATGATGAAATAGGCGTTAAGCTTCGTGATCAATACTTTGCTTGCCTCAACAGACAAACATGGTCAAATATTTCAGATTTAAGAAATTAGTCTGAAAAATATTACGCGACACACTTGGAAGGGAGGCGCGACTTACAGGCTGAGAACTCTCTCTCTCTCTCTCTCTATATACATACACACACATACCTATGACTGTGTGTGTGTGTGTGTGTGTGTGAGCTTGTGTTCTCGTGTTCCTGCACACACATAAAACACACAGACCAGCATACAAATATAAACAGAAATAACATTTCAAAATATTTTGTTCAATTTATTGCATTTTCTATACAGTTCAAAATATGTTGATCCATAACAGAGTCCTATACATCTCAATGGCGAACATTTATAAAATAAAATAAACACAGGTAAGAAAAAAATCGACTTAAGTATATTTGTTGGTCCATAATTAGACCAAATTTATTACAGTGCAAGAGCCATCTACAGCTCGAAATCGGGCTGGGTTTTCCGCAATCGCCGGTACATGGAGTAGAAATGGGCGTCCGCGTACTTCTGCATGTCCCTCCAGAAGACGTCGGACATGGGCTGGCAGTGCTCCTCCGGGATCAGCTCCACCTCCTTCTGCGTCGCCAGCGCTAGGATCTGAAAGAGGGAAGAAGCAGGTTAAAAATAGTAATGATAACTTACTTATTTAATATATCGCTACCTCATTGCAAGAGGGTCGTAACTCCAAATTCCTGATTTTTTAGGAGACGCATTTGAAAATTGCTAAGTCCTATGAATTTGATCATGTTTCACAAAACAACAATCTTTATATTCACCTAATAAAGATGGTAAGTTTTGTTGTTTTGTGAAATATGATCAAATTCATAGGACTTAGCAATTTTCAAATGCGTCTCCTAAAAAATCAGGAATTTGGAGTTACGACCCTCTTGCAATGAGGTAGCGATATGATATAATAACATAGTATTATATAACATACAAACACATTCCATAAACACGGTTCAACCAACGCGACCACACACACACACACACACACACACACACACACACACACACACACACACACACACACACACACACACACACACACACACACACACACAACACAACACACACACACAGAATAAAACCTTACCTGAAGCTCTGCACATCGCTCTAGGTAATACAGGTGATCAAAGGCCATGGATACAGTGGGAGCGACAGCGAGGACGCCATGTTGGCCCATGAAGAGGACGTCTTTGTTCCCTTGGGGTAGAAGGGGTGGGAGGGGAGCAACCGGGAAGAGGAAAATTAAGGATAAGAAGAAAGAATGAAACAGGAAAAAAAATTATAAATATTTCCAGCTAAAATGAATTACCTAGTACTTAAGGATCAAGGTTCAGCTCGATTTATATCTGTTGTTAACTAATTGTATCATAAATTTATGCAGTTAGTAACAAAATCGAGAAATCCCCACCAAGTAATATTTCTCGACTACAATACGATATACATTTTGTGTTTACTTTTCTAAAATGATGCCACCAAAACAATGACAC